TTGGCGGAATTGAATAAGGATAAGACGACAAGTAGGAAGGATGAAAAACTGGGGCAAACTAGACTCTAAGCCATGTCAATTTACTAGGACATTTTGACCACACTTTACAAAAAAGTACAGAAGGCCTATGATAGTGACAAATAGTTTCAGATTATCTGAAAGGAATATTGCACAATAATGAAAAACAAGCAAGTACAGTCAAGGGGAAAAAAAAAAACCCACATTCAAAGCATATATCAAAACATACTAACCGTTCAAAAAGGTTCTCAATAGTTTGAAATTGCTTCTCAGATGAAAGAAGAGTTTCTCTGACACTAATGAGACTGCTAAGATTTCAGAGACTCAAAATCCCACTTAATGCGAACAAGCTCATGACCTGAAGTTACTTTCTCTTTCTCAGTAGCAGTTTCTGATTCAGCCATGATGACCCTCTTGACAAGAAGTTCCATTACACCGTGCCAACCAGCCCAGACTTGAGCAACTCATCAATTTAACATCCATCTTGCTCATATAAAGAACCCTGATCTCTACTAATTTCCATCCATGTTTCTTCATCTCGACTGTCAAATGAAGAGAGATCAACACTCCTGGACCAGCCAGACAATAGTGTGCCATTTTTGTCCACAATACCTACCCCTTCCAACTCTTTGATGACACAAAATGTATGGGCCAAATCAGGAATGGCCATTGCTCTTGCCTTAGATTTCAAGTAGGTCAATAATGCTGCAGTAGTTTTTCCCCTTCACCAAAGAATCTCTAACTCCTTTTTGATTCTTCTTCAGACCCTGAATGCTAGTCTTCACCTCCTTTATTTTGGCTCCCAATAAATCTACTTGGGATAGCTTTGCTCCATCTACTGCTTCCCAATTTCATTAGTCTCACTCAGCCAAGACTGCAGAGTTGACAAGTCAACATTCCCCTCAGCTGCCATTTCCTTTCCTGAGCAATGCAGAAAAGTGTATGAGGGAAAACCAACCTTTAAAAGTTCCATGGCATAACCAATTCACAATCAAGATGAAACAATAAAAGCACAGTTAAAGAAGACAAGCGAATGTATTACAGTCAAGGTGTCCCAACCATAGCAAATAAGCACGCCATCAAAATGGCTTTTTCTAGTTATTAGACAATGAATTTCCATTTTCAGCTGTATTCTATGCTGCTTCGTTAGAGGAGGAGCTTCATGTCATATTTACTTATCTTCTCTAGGTTTGAAATTTGAAGGTTTGACAGAAAGCAAGACAACCAACCATGTATCATCAACAAGTTAGACAACCAATTATATATCATCTAAAGCTGAACTAATTACATCTCTATGTACATCTCATCGTCAGGGCTCAATTGTCTTCCACAATTTATACTTGATGAATCAACTTTAAAAGCATAAACCGTGATCAAGTGTATTCATAACTGGACGCTGGTTTCAATGGTTGAGTCATCCCATCAATCATGCTCAATTGCCTTCTCAACTTAATCATATGAGCTTGCACCTATCACAGTGTACACAATACTTGACAGTGTCTGGGAAGTTTTCTAGTGTAAATAAACAATTAAATCAAGCTTGCAAGACAGAGCATAAAAGCCATAAAATGGTTGATAAACAATCTGTCTAGTTTGTACAAAAGCAATTAAATCAAGCATACAGGACACAGCATAAAAGCCATTAACATATTTGACAAAGGTTATGGAAAGGTATACTTGATGTGGAAAAGCTTATGGAATAAATTCGTATAAGTCCATATTCAAACAAAGAAAGTCAGTTTGGTTACAAGTTGCAACCTAACATTTAGCAAATGATATCGATAGTAAAATTCAACCGTATGAAAGAAATAGGTCATGCCATTGCAGGATTTCTAAACAAGAATATAGCACATCTACTCACAATTAGCAGAGATTCTGAAGAGTTCAACAAACTTACTCGCTAGCCTTTCGACCAAGATAGAAAGTAATTGTTCCACAAACTATTGGAACACAAATTTCTACTTCCTTAAGTCTCCTGTTTGGAGCCTACAAAATATTCAGAAAACAAAATGCATAATGTAATTGCAAATGATTAGCACCTTGAATCAAAACCAAACAAAGTTCAACACTTTTCCATCTCCTGTCCTGTTTTCAATAGTGAAAGGGAACAATTAAGAGGAAAAAATGCTAATCTTTTGAGGACCTAAAATGCTGAAAAGCTCATCTAATCCAATCAGTACAAAATATCACAGATGCTACTCGTTTTCTGCTTACGAGTGCCTGAAGCCGATGCATATAACAATCCCCAAAAGCATCAAATGACTATACAGAACCCAAAAGCAAGAGTGGAAGGAAACAGAACGTTGACGCTACAGAATGAGGTGAAGGCGGTCCCTTTTTGTCACTACTGTCGAGAATTTTAACAATTTTTATAATGCGCTGCGATACTGACGCAGACCCGCCATCTCCGCTTGGGTTTCGCCTGCCGTCAGAGGCATTTCAGCCGGTAATTTTCCCCCTGGTTTTAGATTGGGGATTCTTTGATGGGATTTTTTGAGGGACAAAGGAATGAGGGAACTGTGCTAATCACGAGAAATTTTCTTTTTCAAAAGTTTTCCCGTACTGTTTTCACGCGTCATCTGCCATCCGGGCAAATGGGCTCCGGCGAGGCGTCGGTGTCGGTAATTTATTTCTGCCTGAAAACGACGCTCGGAAGTAGAGAAGAATAGAACTCAAATTGCAGAGAATATATTAAAATTTCTCATTCCATTGGTAATATACATAAATTAATATTCCAACCAAAAAAAAAAAAAAAAACACACTAAATCGTATCAAATTTCTTTAAAAAATCAGGAAATCATTTCAATATTTTCAGATAATTTTCTCTTCTTT